TCTGCGACTGATTCTGAGTCACTCGCAGACTTTCAGGAATTTTGGTGCCAATGCAGAAAATGATATTTCTGACTTATTCGGACCTTTCTGAATCCATTTTTTTGGTCTGCGACTGATTCTGAGGCACTCACAGACTTTCAGGAATTTTTGATGTCAAGGCAGATAATGACATTTTTTACTTCTAGGGACCATCCAGGGTCCATTGTTTTTTGGTCTGCGACTTGGACAGTCACAGACTTTCAGGAATTGTTGGTGCCAATAGAGATAATTACAATTTATGACATTTTTGACCATCCAGAGTCTATTTCGTTGGTCTGCGACTGATTATTGGGCACTTGCAGACTTTCAGGAATTTTTGGTGCTAATGCAGATAATGACATTTTAGGGTAAAAATGCTCTGCTTATGACTAAGGGGTCCTTAAAAGTAAAAAAGTCATGATCTGCAATGGCACTAAACATCCTGAAAGTCTGCGAGTCTCAAGGAATCAGTCGCAGACCCAAGAAATGTACTCTGGCGGTTCCCTAAAAGTCAGAAATGTCATTATCTCTATTGGCATCAAAATTCCTGAAAGTCTGCAAGTGTCCAACAATCAGTCGCAGACCAGCGAAATGAACTCTGGTGGGTCGCTAGAAGTCAAAAATGTCATTATCTCCATTGGCACCAGAGATTCCTGAAAGTCTGCGAATGTCCCAGAATCAGTCGCAGACCATAAAAATGGACTCTGACGGGTCCCTAGAAGTAAAAATTGCTATCATCTCTATTGGCACCAAACTTTCCTGAAAGTCTGCGATTGTCCAATAATACGCTGCAGGCCAATGAAATGGACTCTTTAAGGTCCCTAGAAGTCAAAAATATGATTATTTCCATTGGCACCAACCATTCCTGAAAGTCTGCGAGTGTCCAAGAATTAGTCGCAGACGACCAAAATGGACTCTTGAGGTTCCCTAGAAGTCTTAATTGTCAATATCAGCATTGGCACCAAAATTCCCGAAAGTCTGCGAGTGTCCTTCAAAAATTCGCAGGACAATGAAATAGTCTCTTAAAGGTCCTTAGAAGTCAAAAATATCATTATTTCTATTGGCACCGAAAATTCCTGAAAGTCTGCGAGTGCCTCAGAATTGCCTAGAAGTCGAAAATGTCAATAAAACTTTGGCAACAATAAATCCTGGAACTCAGAATCAGTCTGCCAACTGAGCATTCCACCCGAGCATTTTTTAACTATATTTCGGAATGCCCTGCTAGATTGCCTAGCCAGCTTAGCATTCCACCAGAGCATTTTTACACCATATTTAGTAATGCCCTGCTAGAATGCCTAGCCAGCTGAGCATACCACCAGAGCATTTTTTCACTATATTAAGGAATGCTCAGCTACTATAGTGCCTAGCCTGCTGAGCATTCCAGCAGAGCATTTTTACACTATATCTAGTAATGCAGATTGCCTAGCCAGCTGAGCATTCCACCAGAGCATTTGTTCACTATATTAAGGAATGCTCTGCTATAGTGCCTAGCCAGCTGAGCATTCCTGCAGAACATTTTAACACTTTATTTAGTAATGCCCTGCTAGATTGCCTAACCAGCTTAGCATTCCAGCAGAGCATTTTTACACTATATTTCGTAATGCTCTGCTAGATTGCCTAGCAATTTAGCATTCCACCAGAGCAAATTTACACTATATTTAGGAATACCCTGCTAGATTGCCTAGCCAGCTTAGCATTCCACCAGAGCATTTTTACACCATATTTAGTAATGCCCTGCTAGATTGCCTAGCCAGCTGAGCATTCCACCAGAGCATTTTTTCACTATATTAAGGAATGCTCAGCTATAGTGCATAGCCAACTGAGCATTCCAGCAGAGCATTTTTACACTATATCTAGTAATGCTCTGCTAGATTGCCTAGCCAGCTGAGCATTCCACCAGAGCATTTTTTCACTATATTAAGGAATGCTCTGCTATAGTGCCTAGCCAGCTGAGCATTCCTGCAGAGCATTTTAACACTTTATTTAGTAATGCCCTGCTAGATTGCCTAGCCAGCTTAGCATTCCAGCAGAGCATTTCTACACTATATTTCGTAATGCTCTGCTAGATTGCCTAGCAGCTTAGCATTCCACCAGAGCATTTTTACACTATATTTAGTAATGCCCTGCTAGATTGCCTAGCCAGCTTAGCATTCCAGCAGAGCATTTTTACACTATATTTAGTAATGCCCTGCTTGATTGCCTAGCCAGCTTAGCATTCCAGCAGAGCATTTTTTACACTATATTTCGTAATGCCCTGCTAGATTGCCTAGCCAGCTTAGCATTCCAGAATATTATTTGTACACTATATTTAGTAATGTCCTGCTAGATTTCCTAGCCAGCTTAGCATTCCAGCAGAGCATTTTTACACTATATTTAGTAATGCCCTGCTAGATTGCCTAGCCAGCTTAGCATTCCAGCAGAGCATTTTTACACTATATTTAGTAATGCCCTGCTAGATTGCCTAGCCAGCTTAGCATTCCAGCAGAGCATTTTTACACTATATTTAGTAATGCCCTGCTAGATTGCCTAGCCAGCTTAGCATTCCAGCAGAGCATTTGTACACTATATTTAGTAATGCACTGCTAGATTGCTTAGCCAGCTGAGCGGTCCAGCAGAGCATTTTTTCACTAAAGCTAGGAATGCTCTGCTAGATTGCCAAGACAGCTGAGAATTGCAGCAGAGCATTTTTACACTATATTTAGGAATGCCCTGCTAGATGCCCAAAAACAGCTGAGCATTACAGCAGATCATTACCTTCCCTATATAAATTGAAATGCCTTTTTGCTTAGCTCACTGTTCACTGCTAACTTCTCACATACGGCAATCCCATGCATGTTTGAAATTTTATTGTTTACCAAAGAAAATTTTAAAAATTCAATCAATAGATAAAAAATAACATTTTGAGGCCTAATGGGCTAATGGCCTAATGGTAGGGTTTTCTAAAGATATATGGAATCAAATTGCCCGGAAGTTATATCTGGCGGACGTTGCCTATTGACATTTTTGTGTGATTTCGTTTAAATTACACTTAAAGCACGTAAACTGCAATTACCTGAATATTGATTCATACATAATTTTCTAAATTGAGGAAATCTTTTCAATTCTTTGGTACATTCTATAGAAAAGGACACGACCGCCTTTGTTCTTCTTTAAAACATACAGAATATACGACTTCCTTGTTAAGTGTATTAAACATTGAAAGTAGACAAGTTACTGTAAATGTTAAGTATAGGTGTGTTTTTTTTACAGTTCACGTACGTGTAAGTTCATGATCAAATAAAAACTTATCTCGAAAAGGTGAATGGCTTATTATTGGTTGTTGGAGGAATGAAAATTACGTCCTTGTGGTAATCAAAACAATTTGATTATATTAATGACCTGGAGCAACAAAGTTGCGTTACAATCTCAAGTATTCAATTTCGCGCTACCAAAATCCATTACGACCTTGCGCCGAAAAAAACCCATCCATTTCACGTAATGCAAGTCGATTTCGCGCAAAATGTATCCATTTTGCTCTCCCGAAATGCATTTTGCGCTATAGAAATCCATATTGCGTAACCGGAGTCATTTAACTGAATGAATATGATCTTAGAAAGGTAAGAAAATAATATATCTCCTCGCCCATTCTACATAATCGAAATCCACACACAAGATCATGTCGTGGCACGACAAAATCAACATAGTGCGTTTGCGACCAGCATGGATCCAGACCAGCCTGCGCATCCGCGCAGTCTGATCAGGATCCATGCTGTTCGCTTACAACTCTTTAACAAGTAGAGAAACTGATAGCGAACAGCATGTATCCTCATAAGACTGCGCGGATGCGCAGGCTGCTCTGGATCCATGCTGGTCGCACACCCATTATGTTGGTTTTGTTTTGACGCGGCTCATATATTAGATATATTTGATTACTCCCCTTGTATGTTTTAAATCCTCCCTCCATTTTACATTACCGATATCCACACAGTAAATCATTTGTTTTAAATACCATTTTATTTTAATTGTTTATGCAGTACTTTAGTCTTTGTTTATTGCAGATATTACAATTTTAAAAGTGAGTTATGTGCGCAAAAACTAAAAAAACAACCTTAACACTACTAGGAAACTAATAACCAGCATGCAAACTCAATTCAGAATAGAGAGAAAACATAAGAATCCAAATTACAAGCACATCCGGTATTTGGATTAAATTAGGATAAAAATATCTCAGGATAAAAAGTTTTTTTCAACTCTTACTGCAAATTTTCGATCTCGATCCTGATATTCTATGAAGACAAATTTACATTTTATGCAAAAAAGATAAATTATATATTTAAGCCCGATTGTAAGTAGCATATTTGATCCACGCATGAGATCACTTCCTGGAACTAACCAGTGTGACTCTCATATGGTTGTGACTCCAGCAGGGCTCGAACCTATGATCCTCATATTTCATTGTGACTCTCATTGCCATTGGTTTAACCATTAATTTAATGACAGATTTGCACTTTCGTATCATTCAATAAAATTCAAGGTTATGTACTCAAGGCGTCATGTCCTTGCAAAATTATAAATTCTCAAGAGTCATGCCATAGTGCCATTCCCTTTTCAAACTATCTCAGGTATCAATTTGTCTTTTATAGTCATGTACTGACCTTTCATTAGACTTCTTATAAAGGTACTATTTTGGAGAACAAAAGCCCTTCAGTTTATTGTTCAAATTTTATTTAATCTTAAGTACATCCTGGTGTACTTTTAACTTGCAACATTTAAGTTCAAAAAACGTCCCTGTAGTACGGAATTATGACTTAAAGTAATAAATAATAATAACAAAAATCTCTTCCCAGGACATCACGATTTTACATAATTGAGAAAAAAAACTATATAGAAAATCAGATTTCGTATACAAATCTTTCATTTTACGTAAACCCGTACTGATTTCTGTACTGTATATTACTGCGGGTCATTGCTTATTTCTATTTATAGCCGTTCCGTGTTTCCGATCCGGAACGCTTGTGTTTTTTTTAAATAAAGAACCTAACAAATATGTTTTGTCAATACTATCTTTATATTATTGTCGCATAAGTTGTATCATAAACGCAATACAGTAAGACTTGGCGTTAAAGTATTTAGATTATTGGTGCGTTTTCAACTAATTGGTATATATTTTGAAGGAGAGTTTAAAATGCCTCCTGGATTTAGCACGGGTGCTTTATTGTTTTATTCTGTGATATGTTGTTTGTTGACGGTGCCGGTCTATGGACACGTACGGATAACATATCCCCCGGCTCGCAAGTTCGCCTTGGATTTTCTGGATGTAGTGCGAACCCCGCCTCCTTGTGGAATGCCGAAAGGTAAGTTCATTTAAATAAGTAGACATTTTATTTGAAAAGATATCTTTAATACTGTTTTTAGTTGAGAAAATAATAATTACAAACAGATAACTTTGAAAAATCAATATTTACATTAGTGTTTTTAGAGTTTTCAGTTCAGGGTCGTTTAAAAAAAAAGTGTATTTAAAAATTTACTATTTACAATACATTTGCTTTGAGCTCAACGAATAGCAATCTGTAGATTTAGGTAGATATTGATTGAAATTATAGGTATCAAAACAAGTATGGTTATATTTTAACTTATATACTTTTGCTAATTTATGCTTATACACATACGTATCTATAGACCGGCTAAATGCAGCAATGCATTACGATGCATAAAACGCATTGTACATAATATAGTTAACATTTCAAACACTGTTTCGTCGCCCAGATAATCTGACCGTAGTCATGCCTTTTTTCTTTTAATTGCAATGAAAAAAAAACGCTGTGTTTTTTGTAAATAATATCGACAGGTCCGATTAATAAAGAAGTTTATTGGCATATCTTTTTATAAACGTAAAATTGAGCCGCGTCATGACAAAACCAACATGCTGTTCGCTTACAAACCCTATAACAAGTAGAGAAACTGACAGTGAACAGCATGGATCCTGATCAGACTGCGCGGATGCGCAGGCTGGTCTGGATCCATGCTGGTCGCAAACCCATTATGTTGGTTTTGTCGTGACGCGGATCAAATGTTGTTTTTCTCAGTGAGGCGATTTTATCAACAGATATACTCACTTAGGACTACACCTTGCCCTAAACCTATTTACATCTTCATGGCTATGAATATTGTTAACGTTATCGATTTTGAAATATAAATATACTTAAATAAGCATTGAGATATTTATCGCGTCCCATGGCATTTTTGCTCTCAAAGTTACCATTGCTTGTTTACAATATTATACATTTTGAAACTTAAGTCTGTTTGTTTGTTTGTTAGTTAAGACAGTTGGTTTTTGCTTTAAGTAACTGATATTAAGTATATAAAGTAATATTGCTGTAGATTGAAGTTTCTCGGCAGTGTATTGTCAACACATTTTAAAACCTGTTTTCACTCGTTGTGTCATGATATAATTATATCGGTTCAAGTACAGTAAGCTCGATGAGTTAGCAAAAATTAATTTGCTACTTGATAGTGTACATACTACCCGAAATAAATATATGTCATGTGAAACTGAAACCTTCATAACAATATGGCAAACATCTTGTTTGTCCTTGTTTTTTTGTAAATTAAGATGCATCGATGTCCGTCTACGCATGCGTAAGTTTCGATAATGGCACTATCATTGGAAATCATTGTGGCACATCATTTATGCTCGGATCATGAATAAGTTACAGGTTTTACACAGCACGAGCTACGACAAAGCGTTAAACAAATACATTTCAATAATACGTTATTAAATATTTTATAATGGTATTCATTTTTATTACCTGAATTTCAATTAATTGATCTAACTAGTTTTCCTAACTGTGCAATTTTCTCGGGGCAACCTCTCGCGCCGATCGCAACTTTTCGGCCCTTTCCGCCAGTCCTCGGATAAGGAGTATGAATACAAAGAACGAATACGGTATTTCGGTCTAAACAAATAGTAATTTAATGCTGGGAGTTGTTGACAAGTTTATTTCCAATATATCGAGTAAATGCCCAGCTAAAATAAGTCAATTCATAGATACAAAAGCAAGTAATGCATTATTTATATATTTATTATTATGGTTGAAGAAACCAAAAGTACAAAATGCCAACCTGTTGACATTGAGTCGCATTTGTTTAAAATTGTACATCAGTGGGTATATTTAAATTAAAATGGTTGTCAGACATATTTTCAATCATAATTGTAACGAAACAGACTTTATTTTCCTTTGGATGTCAAATATATAAATTTGTTTTACATAATCGAAGATTTCACTCTCTGTTTCAAACCACGTGGTAGAACTACTTTCAATCCGTATTAACTCCGAGGTAATTATAGATAATAGCCGAGGACGTTCCAATTGCCCCATGCGCATGATCATACGTGTCAGCAGACGCATTAAACAGTAACAGCACAAACACATTCACCTCGCGCAGCACAAGAAACCGCGATCATGTAGAAGAATCGCGTTATGAAATTGAAAAAAAAAACATGAAGGAATGAACAAATAATTATCAGAATGTCAAATCTATCTGCATAATATTCTATGTTAGAACATATTCTATAAAAAAACGAAATTCATAGTACTTCTTTCCCCCATATTCTCTTGAATATCCCAAAAGTAGTGCACACTGTATATGCTTGTTAAGAAACATATTGCTAGGCCATCTGTACTTCTGTACTTTGATTTTTCGCCTGGACAGATAATTTAACACAACAAACAATGTATGATTATCGAACTACCTTACTATAACCGTAATAATAATAATAATAATAATAATAATAATAATAATAATAATAATAATAATGATAATAATTAATAATAATAATAATAATAATAATAATAATAATAAGAAGAAGAAAAAGAAGAAGAAGAAGAATAATATAATGATAATAATAATAATAATAATAATAATGATAATAATAATAATAATAATGATCATAATAATGATAATAATAATAATAATAATAATAATAATAATAATAATAATAATAATAATAATAATAATAATAAATATCATTGCACATTACGTCATCTTTTCAGGTCTCGGCCCAATCACGAACTTTCTAGCCAACGAAGAAGTCACAGTCACGTGGCATGTGGCATATCCTCACAGGGTAAGTTAAACACTATCACGTGCATACGAATTTGAGCATGGAATTAAAAAATCTTAATTCACATTAATTAATGTAACATTTGATATATTCCCTTGTGTCCCATAGAAAATAAAAACATTCTGTACAAAAAGGGAAACAATTATAATTCGAAGTTCTATATTAAATTTTGCCTTATATGTATTTCCCTCCATTTTCCAACTTAAAATCAAAACTTAACGTGTGAGTATTTAATTGCTTACCCTCATTTTCCGTATTTTCTACTGTTTTGTATTTTTAAAATCTATTTATAACTGTTATTATGTTTGTTTACCCTCTTCGTTTTGGTATATTAATGGTATAGTTTGTTAAAAAAAGGAGAAAACTTTAGAGTAATTTTAGAGTACTTTAGATTTTGTTCTTCAAGTACGCGCTTATAGCTACGTCACTTCAAAATATATGCACTCACTCACTCACTCACTCACTCACTCACTCACTCACTCACTCACTCACTCACTCACTTTTTTTCTTGCATACCTCTACATTTTATTTTTTATTTGACAACTATTAAATAATTTTCAAACAACTGGCAGTGACATGATTGTGATGGAAAGTTTAATATATACAGGAGCGTATTATTAAAAATGAATGGTACGAGTGTGGTGCGGTGTTTAATCGGGATGGGGTTGGTAGGAGGTTGGAGGTAGGTTTGGTTTCCGAGTCCATGATATACTTTAACAGATAATTGTTTGCCGTATTTCTCCATAGTATAATAACATTCCGTCAACTTGTAACAGTCACTCATCTTTTGTATTTATTTAAAAATTCTTAAGTTATTATAAAAACACAACTCAGTACGTCCATTTTTCCGTTTTTATTATAAAGTTTTTGTCATCTTTATAACAATATTTCCAACCGGTTGAAAACAACAATAGATGTACATTATATTGCACCGCAGAAAACTGCGGACTTTAACCGTCACATGTTAAGTGTCTGACTGCTTGAATCTCTCTATCTCAAAAAGTTCAGCTCATTTATTAATACAAAAATAATTGTAAGAAAGGTTTCAATAATTAACTAATGAAAAAATGACCCTTAAACAAGAAAATATTAACCAATGAAAATACATTTTATCAAATATGAAATTAAAGATTTGACCACTAAAAATGGTTCGATTAAGACTGATTAACACGCCAGATGTCAAAAGTCAGCGGCCTGTTAATTCCTTTCTTTAAGTCAAACAGATAATCTGATAACAAAACTTCAAATAAATGTCGTAGATAAAATTAATGATAATAATCACGTTGTCATACATGTGACGTAAAGATAAATGTGTCAGACACGTAAATTGCAATAAACATGTCAGAGGTCTGGCTAATTGATAATTTACATATTTCTGAATTTCAATAATTTAAAAACTTTTTATAAAATAAACAAGAAAATATAATAATTTTACGAAAAGTATTTTGAAAGAATCAAATGAAAAAAAATACAGCATAACACGAGTTATAACGAGTACAAAGATTAAGAAGGAAATTTGCATTAGAACGCTTTAAAGTGATACAAATCTTTGTATGCTGCTATCTTTGTAAGTCAATCATTCGCCGATTTAAACATTTCGTCTGGTGGTATTTTATTTTTCTTATGAAGTATGCACACAAGTTATGGTTGCTATGCTTGATCTTCGCAACCGATACAAAAATATTCGTTTGGTTTATAATTGATTCAATGTATACTATTGAATAATGCAAACCCTTTGCAGTACAAATATAATTTATATAGAAGATTCAAAACGATATTGTGATCCAAACAGTATTTTTTCTCTCATTTTTTAAAAGATCCTGTAACGCAATTTTTTTATGGTTTCATATACAGTAGAAACCCTACTTAAGACCACCCCGGAATTAAGACCACCCCGCTATTAAGACCAGTTTTTAAAAGAACGGAATTTTCTGTTCTTTAAGTCAATGGTTACATGATTCAGAATTAAAACCACCTCGCTTATCCACTTTTAAGACCACCAAATTCAGTCCCAATTCTTTGTTATGTTCTTTATTAGACCTCACTTTTGAGACCACTGATATTAAAATCAACACCTTGCTAGATCATCAATTTGTTGTTATGTTGTTATTATATGCTTGATTGCTCTTAGGCATGACACTTGATTACACAAGGTGTCAAGAACTGTTATTTAAGAGATATTAAATGAAATAAGGTGAGAAAGTATATTTTAGAGTGGTTTAATGTTGATTTTAGCACATTTATTTTGTGAAGGAATAATGTCTTATATGATATGTGAATAATATACATCATATAATAATTAATATTGAAATCAGATTAAAAAGAATTTGATATTAAATTTATTTCTTTCCATTTGATGTTAAAATATAACATACTTTTATATTGTATTTGCAGCTTACATATTGTTTGTTCATACAAAATGACTTAAATAGACCATGGTCATAAAGTATGTAAGCAATGATAAGAATTTCCACAATTAAGACCACCCCGCAATTAAGACCACTTTGGTCCAGTTCCGATGGTGGTCTTAATTGAGGGTTTTCACTGTAATATATATAATGCTCAAATGAAGATTCAAAAAGCATTATTTGTAAAAATATTTTAAAATCTACATTTCATGTAAATAAAGGGAGGTAATTAGAAATTTATTTTCTATTAAGTCTAAGTCAGTTTTCAATAAGAAATGAATGCATATATATTTTAATGATTACATATAATATGGACAAATATTTTTCGTACATATTTTACATATTCTTCTAAGTTTGAAAATTGTTTTAGAAGCATAATTTCATACATATATAAAATTTCAATGAAATGTGGTAACAACCTAAATTACAACATACAGGATCTTTCAGTTTATCTATTTTATTTTTTTGAAGAAGGCAAATGCCGAAATAGTTAGACGCTTCGGTTCTCTTTATACTGATTAAGTAACTGACACACTCCATTCGTTATAGAAACGGTTACCAACGTAAAAGAATGTACTTACGTATATACGTTAGTAGGTATATTTTACATAAATGTTATTTATATTGGGAGTGATACAAGTTGAATGCACATTTTTCTGATTGTTTTAGTGAATATTGAACATATCTAGAATTATCTAATATTTTCAATAGCTCGAAGCGTAAGTGAAGATATAAACCATGCAATAAATCAATAACGAAACTAACTCGTTATAAAAATAAACTTCCTGCTAAATATCTCAAATGGACTTGCCTAATCCCCATCTTTTTAAACTGGACGAGTCCATTCATCATTTTTAGGGAAAATATCAAAACATGTATCGACTGAATAAAGCGAACCGTGAAGCCCATGTCCAGACGGCTCGGAAGTGTCGGCTGATCTTGGTCGCTGTGTTCGCATTGGTTGAATTTGTTGCATCCAGCAGTACCAACATACTATCGACCTACGTTAAGGTCATTAATCTATCTTAATCATGATGCGTGATGTTCTCTATTCAGTAGGTTTATTTCTCATTCATGAACATTTCATATTTTGTTGAAAGGGGGGAACATATGAAAGTATGGTTGTTAAAATGTTTGAATACAATAATCTGATTATATTATATAATCTATAAATAGCTTTGAAATGCCTTTCCCTGATTGGCTAACAAGCAACTTTTTGTAAAAAATAACAGGTCAATATCAGAGTATATTCACTGTTTTTTTTCCTAAAAATAGATTTTCAGAGTATATTCACCGGTTTTTCTTCTAAAAATAGATTTTCTGGAAATCCCTAAAAGACGCGAGACTTTGACGTGACGTCACGCCAAGTTTGTTGTTATTATTCTGAAAAAAACGTTGAGTGGGGTGTACATAAGAGTCAAATAAGTCTATTTTAGTAACCATTTTTCATTTTTAAGAACAATAGGGATTAGCATGCCAATGGAAAGGGCCAAATTATAGAAACAGTAGACAAGCTGAAAAATAATGATTTCTGTCGTATGTGATAAGCTATATAAAAGCTATTTATAAATTATATAATAAAACAGATATGTACTTTTTAGCTGTTGAATATGATGTGATATGTACTGAAAAATTAATATTGACCTCGGCTATCGCCTCGGTCAATATTAATTTTTTCAGTACATATCACATCATATTCAACAGCTAAAAAGTCCATATTTGTATAATATTATATATGCAATAAATATGTTTAAACTGACCTGATGAGGCCGAAATAACCATTAACTGATTTACATAATATAATTATTTAAAGATTTAATGCTAAAAATGCTATCATTTTTTTATTTCTCAAAAACTCTTTTTTTGGTATTTTTTACAGTTTCGAAAAACATACTCATTTCGGTATATACATGAACTATATATCTTTTGCATCTTTAGTTTTGTTGGCAATTGGTATATCAAAGTGAATATGTAATTTGTATGGAAGTCAAACTACTACTTTGTTTGCATTTTGCCACATCTGCATGTTCAGCTTTTCCTTTTTTCAGCTATAAAACATCTTATACATGCTCTCAATACATTTATCAAACAGTTATAAAACACATGTTTGGCATTTCTAAAGAATTAAAAACATATGAGCCGCGTCATGACAAAACCAACATAATGGGTTTGCGACCAGCATGGATCCACACCAGCCTGCGCATCCGCGCAGTCTGATCAGGATCCATGTTGTTCGCTATCAGTTTCTCTACTTGTACGCTCGTAATAGAGTTGGTAAGCGAACAGCGTGGATTCTGATCAGACTGCGTGGATGTGCAGGCTGGTCTGGATACATGCTGGTCGCAAACGCACTATGTTGGTTTTGTCGTGACGCGGCTCATATGGATTTTTGAGACATAATGTGCCTTTCATATTGGAAAGTTACACATATCCATCAATTCGTAACTAAGTTTTGCTTTGCGCATTTGATAAAGAATAAGGATATCATTTTTTACAAGAAATGTATTCAATTATATTCTAAAAAACATCACGTGATGTTCAAATTTACTTACTCTATACCCGGATTTTCGTGACTGAAAAAAAGAAAAGAATTGTCGACGACAGTCGTCCGATATTAACAAAAGTGTTTAGTATATATCTACCTCAATAATATGAAAGTTATTTTTATTTCTTCATATTTGATATGTGAATATACATTATTACAAAATTCAAACGTAAGGTTACAAAAATATTATCTATAATGGGATAACAAAAAGGATATATTTGTACATGTATATCTATAATGTTTATTTCTTTTCTTAAGAAAATAAGAATTATACTACTTGTATATCTATGTTTATTTCTTAAGAAAATGAGATTGATACTACTTGCATATCTATAATGTATATTTCTTAAGAAAATAAGAATTATACTACTTGTATATCTATGTTTATTTCTTAAGAAAATGTAAATTGGCTGCTTTTTATCATACCGAACTATGACTGTTTATACTAAATTAATCTTGTCGTCAATATATAAAATTATAGTTTGTGACGATATTACCTATAGATAATATAGGACATTAAGAAAATACACTAGCAAATATATATCATCTGCCAATCGTGCAATGACAAGCGGAAGTCATTTGAAATTTCAATAAGCCCCAAAACTGAGATAACCGATAGTTTTTTGTAATTTCTATCTCTCAAAACGTTTTAATTTTTGGTTTCTTAAAACAGGTCCAGTAAAGTTAACCATTGGTCATTCTTATACTACTTACACTTACAATCGATGTAAATTACCAAAAAGAGCTCAAAATATGCAAAAATAACCCTTATTGCGTTAATCACGCTGTAGAAATATAGGAATAAATATTGCAAATGCAAATTATTACTTGAATCTTAAATCTTTATCTTAGAACATGTTTCTTCAATTTTTTTATTTTCTTGAAATACTTTGGCTCATCTGGAGGCATGCAGATTTAAATTTATATAAACGACGACTCTTTTGAAAACATGAATAACACTAAACTGGTGTATACATTATAATATAGATTAATATCAGTAATATAAAAACTTCTTTTCTTTTGTTAATAGTGTATACGTAAACTTTGAAGCGTGTAAATGTATTCAGATTTATTTATATAGCATCACGTGATTTACGAAATTACTTGGTATGTGCGGATCTTCGTAATTTAAACTAATATAAAAGACTTATTAGTAACACGATCACTGTTTGTTTAAACCAAGGGAGCTGATCAAGGCAACGGTACTTGGGTTTATTTATACTCACCACCGGTTGCCCATATGGGCGAGTCCTCCAGAAGAGTAAAAGTCATTTTAGATTTTTAGAGGCTAGTTCAAGATATAAATACAGAAATATGCCCTGTTTATTTATAAGTTTGTCCCGTATGTTATCAGTGCGATGCAATTCATGCTCTAAATTTCTACATACTAATTTCGCTTATCGTTGCATAACTATCTATTACATCTTTAAAAAATAAAGAGCTCCGGGCAAAACATACATTTTTTTCGTTACTTTCAATAACCTTTTAAATGCGAACTTATGAAAAGTAAAACGAAGATCCATTTTGCCCGATGCATTCTTGCTCCTTGCACCGCATATTTTATCATTATAATCACGTCTTAAAGAAGAAGACGAAGACGAAAATGAACAAAAAATAATTTATGCAAGATATAATGCATGTATCTCGTTATAAACACAGCTTACATTGAATTTATTAATCACACCATGCTTGTAAAAAATATTGTAATTTAGATGATGTACAATGTATAAATCTTCATAAAGTATCTGTTCTGTTCTGTTCTTGATTTGAAAATAACAATAATTTGTTGTGCTTTTGACAATCTGGTCAAAAAGCTTAAAGGCCCATTATGCCCCAGATATGCCTTTAATATAATTTCTCAAAAACTTTTTATTTTTAGTGTCCTGTAAAAGTTTTAAAAAATAACTTTTTTTCTTTATATCTGAACCCTCTTTGTTCCAATCGATTGTTGGCTATAAGTATAGTTACAGTGTTTTAGTATTTTATATGCATGTCAAAATACTAGTTTGTTTACATTTTGCTACTTTTATGACAATTTTCACATTCAGTGCTATACTTTCTTCATGTGTAAAGCATCTAACATGCTCTAATACCATTATTTTAATGTTACAACAATCATGTTTGTGCTCCTTTCTTAAAAAGACAGAAAAATTCATTTCTGACGCATAATGTTCCTTTAAATGATATAAGAAGTTATGGCTATTAGGAAGAAGTAGTATATTTTAGAAGTACACGTATTTGCTACTAATATTAACAGTTGATATAATGAACATGGAACCAGTACTAAAGTCAGATAAGTATATCAATAAATCGTATCATTTTACATTACACGGTGCATATCCATATCGGTACCCTCTTTGCAAAATCTGCTGAAACGGTACCCTCTTTGTACATGCACAGGCCATTCTCTACTCAAAACATACCAGCGATGGATAACAAGCCAGTAAAAATTCATTGTAATATGGAAAGGAAGTATGACACGTGGAAAAGATGTATACCACGGAACACTAGAAAGTTTTATCTATGTGCTGATTTGTCATGTGCCCGTTTTTCATGCACTGCGACTTCACAATAAGCTACAAAAAATCAACATGTCTTGCTTCGCCCATCACCTCGACATACTTTTCGGGCTGAAATGAACCTGTGGCTTGATTATATATGCATCATACATATTTAATATGTTCATATACATGTCATCTTCGGACAAATGGCAGTACATTGTCAAAAATAAATGAAAAAATCATAAAAACACCCTACTTTCGGTTTTGCAGCGTCACAGGCTACCTCTCTTCATTTGAATTTTTATATCACAGGTACCCTCTCACTTTTTAACACAAGAATTATTGAAATTAAAATAAGATATATTTTAAAGACTATTTCTAGTGGACAGTTTGCCGCATTCACAGTCGTTTAAGAATGTTTTAGATGGATGAGGTCCTTGCTCACACCCTTAAGTTATTATAAAAAACACAAAACAATATATTTCAACATTAGAATTCAGTAGCAAAATTATTATGTTAAAAAATCTACTTAATATATTGGTGTATTTAGTCTAACACATTACTATATTACAAAATTTAACCGATGTAAAGAATGTAGAACATCAACTCTTTTCAATAATATTTCAACCATTGAATACATTTTATTTTGTTCAACTAAGCAGATAAAATATATAGGTATAACCCTTGCAGCTGTTAAACGAGGCAAATCGTTGTTGTAATAAAATTATAGTGTAATTCCAAGGGGTGTATGTTTAGCTTTCATACAGCAGCTAATTTTCGGTGATGGTTGCTGAACGCAATGTTAACACGATCTTTGATTTTTGCCCTTATGAAACAACAACAACAACACACCACCACCATCAACAAAAACACCACTACCACAAACAACTACATCAACAACATCACTACCACCAACATCAACAATAACACCACCATCGTCATCATCAACAACAACAACAACAACAACAACAACAACATCAAAAACTACAACTTAAGATATGATATAAAAGCCAATGTTATAGATATAATATAATTATATGAAAAATTGATTCAGTTAGCAATATGTCAGTTACACGGTTTATATCCTATTATTTTCGTTTCAGAATATCGTAGTTCTTCTTTTTTTCCCATATTAATAACTTACTCCGATCTCCGTGCAAAGTTTGCATACTTTTTGACCACTGAAATATCTAACCAACTGTTTTGTTAATTTAAGGGGGGATTTGCGTTAAATCTATTGGCTGCAAATGAGTCGGTTATTCATAGATTCACAAATGGCTTTATTTCCACAACAGATCCTACGTAAGTATAATTTCATCATGACAAAATATTTTGTGATTTAATATTTATGAAATTATTTCATTGGTTTATCATCAAAATAAGTTATGATAACGACTAAATTAATATCTTATCTATGATTTTATTTTCATACTTCAATGTATCTGTATTTTTAATAATTTAGAATTGTCTGCTTTCCCCCCAGATTATTTCTTTGAAAAAAATATACGAAGGTGATATTGCATACACTCTTACTTTGTTGTCTTTCTAAAGCAATACTCTGATGTTCTAATGTTGTAAAATGCCATAATCCAATAAATTTTTACTTAGACATGTATTGTATATACATTTGCGGATAAAAACATTTCATTTTATCTTAAAGGGGCCGTTTTTATAAACAGCTTTTATAAAGGTTAGATATGTTATTTGATCATAGATCGTTTCATTTAATTTTCAATTCAAAAGAATTGAGGTAAAGATGAAGAATGGCATCTATAAAATATATAGAAAAATAAGGAAACCCCTCCATACCTCTAATCTCTATATTTAAAGTAGTGAAGCAGACCCTTTTTTTAGAAACGAACCTCACTAAATAGCTATAAATAGCTCTGGGGACGCTGTTTTGAAAAAAAGCCTATAAACAGTGATATAATGCACTATTTTCAAAATAAAAATTACTGAAATACTTAGTTTAAAACAACACAAAATTGTTTTTGCAACAAAAAATAAAAGCTGAATGACGCTTTAATGTAACGTTTTGCTCATGTAGTTTCCGTTACCGAGATATACTTTTATCGAATTTTCACCTCCAAGTTCTTACTCTTCAGTCACATAATGGTATACCTGGGTCATCAATTCAATGATATTTTTTTATTGAAATGAATTAAGTTCATATACCATTAATGTTTGAACTTTTTTTTATCAAACGCCAGTTGCACAAAAGTCAGGCGATAAAATTTGAATCACAAAAACTCTAAATGAAGTGGTTCAGTGAACACCGAATTAAAATTTATTTTTGGTATTGGTTCTTATTAAAGATCAATGACCTGAATTATCAAGCGTTAGTCTTCGGCCCTTTCCATAACACATCGGATTATGAGTATAATACTTATTGATGAAATCACTTAGGACTATATAGAATCACGGGGTTTATTGCAGGAGGGGGTGGGAGGGGCGTGGGGGGGGGAGAGGAGAGCTTCTACCTTATTACCTTATAATATACATGTAGGTGTTTACATGTACAATGTAGTAACTATAGGTTCAGGAAAAATACACTATGATAAACAATTCTTAAATTTCAAACTATGTGTTTTATCACTCGGTGAAAAATATTTGTTAATCATAATTTCAGAAAACTGTCGTATAATATAATAATACCAAACCTAGACTGCATGAACTGTAGTATACAACTTATACGACAAGCTGGAGAATGGTCAACCTCGTGTAATAATGGCAAATACGACTTCTACTCATGCGCAGATATCAACATTAAAACTGGTATGGTATAGGTATAATATGCACTGTTCAGTAAAAGGTCTTTTTTAAAGCAACAAGCATCCAGATTCATGCCAATTTCCATGAAAAATTTGACAAATGTATTTCAAAATTTAAATATCGTGAATTGAACACAGAAAGTAATTTACAAATTACAAATGACATTAACAGTTCATGTAAATTACCAAAAGGAGATCAGAATTTACAAATCATCCCTAACGCGTTAGTCACGCAGTAGAAATATGTTTCTAAATTCTGCAACACCAGTCATTGATTGCACATAACAAGTGAATTATTACTTGAATCTTAAATATATTTACCTTTTTTGAAATCTATGTTCATTTTTCTCAAGTACGATTTTCTTCAAATATCTGACTCATCTGGAGGCATGCAGTTTTAAAACAATCAGAGAGTCTTAGTCAAAAATGGTCTTAACTGTGGCGGGGTGGTCTCACTAGTGCATGGATATTGTTCGCTAAGATTAGATTTTTATGACTGTGGTTTTATTTTTCTACCATTTGTATTTAAATGTTCAAACATGTATCATAAATATCAGTTAATTATATAAATAAAAGACATTGATTGGACGAACACGGCACATTATGCCGGAGAAAAGCCAGGACAAAAACATCGACTTTGAATATAAAGAATTCTGGTGCACAACACATATTTTACTAACTGGTCCTCATTTCGATTTGCCGCATCTTATATAGAAACCATTTAGTATGTTGCATCGAATCGAAGCGATGTCGTTAGTTTCGGAAATCTCTTTCGTTGCGTTCAAGTTTCAAAAACATAAATCTGTCATATAGACTTTGACTTGTGACCGGCATTTTCCGTGACTTTAAGTTATATGAATCAAAATAAGCGTTTGTAAAACCATGACGAACAATCATTATGATCAACTAAGGCGCTTTTTAAAGAAAGAGGTACGGAAATTAACGGGTCTTGCCGAATTCTCTAACTTATTGATAGACCAAAAATGCATTATGTAGATGAGCTGGTGCTTCATTTTCATGTTAATTATTTTGTAAACTACATTTGTATGTGTGTGATATATATTAAATTAATAAGTGTTACCATTGTGCAAGGCCTCTCTCTTTCCTCTCTATATACATGTCTTTCCTCTCTATATACATGTATATATGTTTTGTTTTTATTTTATAGTGGTGGACTACAACAGATGTTCTGATCACGGTAGTTATAGCAATGGACAATGCACGTGTAATAGGCTGTACTCTGGACCTGCGTGTCAATACAAAGGTACGTTACTCTTATTAAGAATAAAGAACGTTATATTCATCCATCCATCCATCCTCATCGTTTAATTTATCTAATGTGCATTTTATTTTAAGCAGAATGTCTAATTGATCATATAGCTACGTTTTCGTTGAACAACTTATTTAACTTTGACCATGCATTTATAAGTTAATTTTCTTCTTTTATATTCTTATATCTGGATTTTATCACATAGTCCCACGTCGCTTTTGCAACTCTCTGAAACAAAATTGCACGGTTGTACATATGTGTTGACGTGACGTCATTTGCTTGATACAAAAATATAGCGTAGTAAATGAAAGGAAAAAGTTTTTCTTGTTTGGTATACAATAAACACAATATTATATTTGTGTAGCCTCATTACTAAAGTAGACAGGTGCTCGCATAATACAAGTCCAATAAATTCAATATTGGACCGTCAACCAAATACAAAAATTTGACTTCTTTATTTTACAGATGAATGCGAGGCGGATTCAGATTGCAGCAATGGTGGAAAATGTATGAAAAATGTTTCAACATATTACCCTAAAAATCAGTGTTACTGTACTGCAGGCTATTTTGGAAGATCATGCGAAAAACGTAATTTTTAAATTGATTAACTAATTACTAAATTAATTAATTAGTTTATAATAATAATAATAATAATAATAATAATAATAATAATAATAATAATAATAATAAAATAATAATAAAATAAACAATAACAGGCATGAACGTATGTTATTTTCGATGATTACATTTCAATTTTGAGTCACAAAAATAAAAAATAAAAAACATTTGAAATATATTTCTGCATTATAATTACATTTTTGCATAATGCATAAAATGTTAATGTTTATCCAAACTGTCAACATTTGCAATAAATCTAATTGCTCGTGTAACTTTATATTATTTTTGTAAACCACATTTTCTTTGCCGTTAGGTTTAAAGGAGAACTTATATTGCTCTGGTATCTGGAAATAAAATTAAAAAAAAAATCAAACATTAGCCTTTGTGTGTTATACAAGTTCTTGTTTCACTTAAGTTTTTTTCTTTTATATTCCCAGAATCGAGTATTACGTCAATTTCAAATATAAACACAAATGACTACGTACGGACGTCCATTGCTGGTACAGAAGACTTCAAAATCTACCACAGAATTCTTCCGGTAAGTTTTTTTTATGTGCTGAGTAAAATATGGATTATATTTGACATTATTTATTCTCTTGACAAATTGAATTGAATAAATGCAATATCTTGATCATACTTGTGAAAATTGACTTAACTGGCACTTTTAGATATTCAAAATGGATTCTCAAGTTACCTTGTAGAAATATCTAAGAAATCTCTGAAAATGAACGATGTCGAACTACTGACCAAGTTTTTAATAAAAAAAAAATCACCAAAACAAATTGTTGTCAAAGATATTTATAAAAGTTCATAACGTTGGAAATGGTCAAGTGCTCAACATGTTTAAAACAGGAGTTACACTTAGTTAACAACTTGTGTTTTTAGCACGGCTTATATTTTGTTCGGTTTGAAAGTTTTACCTTTCAAATGGTCGCAGTCGCAACATGTCTGCGCATGAGCAATGTGTTAAATCTTACGTTCCTCATTGTACTGGCAAAATGCACATGTCTGCGCTTGGGAAGTGTATTAAGTTACGTTGGCAAAATTCACATGTCTGCGAATGAGAAGTGTATTATGTTTTCCGTCAACATACACGTGTCTGCGCAGGTCTTACGTTCCCTATTAGTCTGGCAAAATTCACAATGCAAAGTTTCATGCTAAATCTATCTATAGTTTTTACGTTGCATGTATATATTATTCTTCAAAATAAATTTACAATATATGTTAATTTCCTTTCAGAGTTTAAATGAAATTGAGGTTGTACTACAAGTTGTCACCGATACATGGGTAGGCATTGGGTGGAGAGGCCTAAGTATGTACTTGTTTTTTTCCATAATATACCCGGTATCGATTTTTATGACATTTTATCAATTCACTGTTACATTTGTTAACATAATATAAATATGTTGTAATAAGTGAATAATATTATGTTGTAGCTTGTCCTTTTCATTTTTTTTCTAGAAATTTATCCACTTTTACGAAGTAAGATCAGTTTTGAATGATAATGTGCAAATGCAACTGTTTATTTGATATTATTAAATAGTAGAATGACAAAAGTGACACTTTTTTGTTGTAGACTTGAATTATCAATGCAGACGTTTCCCCGCAATACATGACCTTCCTGATGGGGATGGAGAGGGCGAAGGAGAGGGTGAAGGGGAGGGTGAAGGAGAAGGAGAGGGTGAAGGAGAGGGTGAAGGGGAAGGAGAGGGTGAAGGGGAGGGTGAAGGAGAAGGAGAGGGTGAAGGAGAGGGTGAAGGGGAAGGAGAGGGTGAAGGGGAGGGTGAAGGAGAAGGAGAGGGTGAAGGGGAGGGTGAAGGGGAAGGAGAGGGTGAAGGGGAAGGGGAGGGGGAAGGGGAGGGTGAAGGGGAAGGGGAGGGTGAAGGAGAGGGGGAAGGAGAGGGCGAAGGGGAAGGAGAGGGAGAAGGAGAGGGTGAAGGAGAAGGGGAAGGAGAGGGGGAAGGGGAAGGAGAGGGGGAAGGGGAAGGGGAGGGTGAAGGGGAGGGGGAGGGCGAAGGAGAGGGTGAAGGAGAAGGGGAGGGTGAAGGAGAAGGTGAGGGTGAAGGGGAAGGAGAGGGTGAAGGGGAGGGAGAGGGCGAAGGAGAGGGTGAAGGGGAAGGGGAGGGAGAAGGCGAAGGGGAGGGTGAAGGAGAAGGGGAGGGAGAAGGAGAAAGTGGTGGAACATGTGGAAGGGGTGGAAGTAAGTACATTTTTATTTCGTTTAGTGTATGAATGTTTTAAAAGATCTCATAGGAACATTTTTCTGTTTCTTTCTGTCTTGCATATACATACATAACATAATTACGATTGAGATTAAGATAATATAAAATCACGAATACGTTCATCAAAATAAAATAATAAAATGATAATGTTAAATTAATGTTTTGTCAGGCACACTTCATGCTATGGATTGTACAGATATAATTATCGGCACGGCTAAAGGGAGCTACTCGAGAATTGGTGATTATTATACCCGAGACAGATCGACACCAAGGTTCGACGCTTTCTATGGAGGCAAAGATAGTTTGACAGCAGCAGTCGGGCAGGAAGTTAACGGAATGACAACGATACTTTTCCGACGGAAGCTGAACAGTTAGTAAAAATCTATTGACCTCTTGGCAAAACTTATGTTAAATGAATTTCGATTAAATATATTAGGTTAAAGCATATTTATTTTAGCCTGGCTAAGATGAAGGCTTAAAGTTTACGAGATGGATAAGTAGGCACAAAACCTTTCTAAAACATATGCATCGGCAATATTATTTTAGATCATTTTTGAAGGCCTACATCAACTGGATAGACCTTGACATAAATGTAGGTAGTAACCAGTCTTTCTTTGTTTTAGAATATTAATACTTTTTTAGTAAAATTCCTTAAATCTGACCGAAATTGTAAAACAGATATTTTATTTGTACATATAGCTTCTGACGTCACGGATCATGTCATAACTGATGCCGCGATGCATGTGATTTGGGCACGTGGTCAAGTAGCAGGAAATATTCACCATAATCCAAGTTCCGGTCTGGAGCATTCGTCTTCTTCACCATCTATACCAAATTATTATTACACCGATGAGCTGAAATATCATGGAAGAGAAATTACAGGATCTTCTTACGGCCATAGAGGGTCGCTAACGCTTAATTTCTTCGGTAAGTTTGAAAGTTTCATTTGTAATCGAATGAACGATAGGTAGTGGCATTGAGCTACATCTTTCATCATATTTAAGTGAGGGCTTTGGTGGTAGCTTTAATTAATTAAATACATTATCAAACCGGACGTGTATTATTTCATTCTTGCCATACGAGTATAAGGCAATCCTTAATATTCCCAGTTTACTTTTATTTCCGATACAAGGAACAAAGAATCCAATCCGCCTAAAGTTCTTATTTGTATACCTTAGCGCCAATTGCTCTGGTTTGTCTTCTGCAGGCAGATCGTACGGCTATTTTAAGCCACCCAATGAAAGTATCCGTTACAGAGAGGCATTTCCCAAAGTCATCATCATGAAGTCAGAAAAGTCACTGACTTTGCGATAGAAAACATTAACGCAATATACCCGTATTTCAAATGTAGACGCCCTGTGGCTGTCATTTGAATTGCCTTAAATACATGAACGTCGCAACCTGTCATTATTAGAGTCATTAGAGATTAAATATGCTATAAATGTTTGCTTGTTGAGATATATAAGGTTATATCTATGCAGTGGGTTTAACAAGTAAATAACGAATATCAAATCTGAATAAACATATGTTAGAAAGTCAGCAAGACAAATGACGCAGCAGTTTAATTGCCTTCAGCATATAATGTAACTGGTATTTTTTCGGCCGGCCGTCTTAATCAGTTTGACTTCCTGTAAAATTTACAGGGAGAACTGAATATAAGAAGAATTATCATTGGTTATTTTAAATTACAAACTGAAATCTGGGAATCTCATTGGCCATAATAAAATAAAGGATAGTTCTTGCCATTCTAAAATAGAATTCTAAGGATAGTTCTAAAATAAAATCTAAAGGTTAGTTTGCGCCAAATGTTTATGCTATATGTATCGAAAAATTAGAAATAACACATACAAGTTGACCAGTTTTATTTCGGCCGAGTACGCTTTTTAAAGATACTTCTTATTACTCCTGCAGATGTTCCGAGTACAACCACACCGCCTACAACCGGAAGTTTCTGTGACGGAAGTTGGACTTCCCCGTCGGGAGAATATACTGCTAAGTGGGTGTATAACAAAATGTCAGCATCAATTACTTTCACTATATCGGCGAAAATTTCAGGCAATCAATGGATGGCAATTGGAATAAATCCAGAACGCAGAATGGTATGTGTTTAAATCTTGTTTTTATCTTTGAAAACTATGCATCGGCATCAAGAACATTATTTTTACCTATACCTATACACAATATTGTTTGTTTGTTAAGAATAATGTAATTTATTCTTCTTCCGGTTTCTACGACGGAGCATAATGTCTGAATGTTGGTTCTATAATTGCCATGTGGACAGTTCCTTTGACCATTTTAACCTTTGACCTTAAAATGTTCAGTTATGATATATCATCATCTTAATGCGATGATAGCAAATGAAGAAATACCTCCTGCATTGACACGCTCTGTCCAAACGAACCGACCAAAATGTGTTACATTTGGGCGGCTATTAAAATTTCTTCATGAGTAAAGTCAGTCGATTTTTTCTACGAACCAAAAGTAGTTTATATATTATTGTGTTTTTAGTTTAGTGACCGAGCAGATGCCTACGTAGCGTGGTCAACGAACGGTGAGCTTCCGGTGACAGTAACTGACAGGTATGTTTTAACACGAACCAGTATAGAAAATTCTATGGCATGGTACAGTCGTATGCAGTCAAATTGTGAACGTCATTGTCCAGGAATCATTTGTCACATTTAAGGGTTCGAATCTCGTAAGGGAGGTTGAATTTGATTCTTTGAAGTGCCGTACTTGTATATCTAAATCTAGTTCACTGAGGTCACCGGGGAAGATTTAACTCGGATGTTCGGTCCTGTATTCGATCCTGTCTGAAATAATGTATATATGAGGCATTGCTCCAGCTGTAATGCCGGAAAGTGACCCGATTGATTTTCTTTATTAAGCTAAGCTGTCTGTATCAATTTCATTATTCATGCAGTTATAGTCGTTGCAATTTTTTTTAGCTAGAAAGAGCTCTTCACTGATACATGAATAGTTAAATAATTAGTGTCATATTTTGTGAAAATATCACAATAAGACTGCAGTTCATGAAAATGGAACGCATTTTAAAGAGTATTTGTTTGGTAGCTATACTTTTAAAGACAAAAGGGGTTATAATTTGGGTTATTGTACATGTATAATGTATGTTTTATACGGAACGATGAATTTAAACGACCATACTGCTGTAGCGTGTCGCCAAGGATATTACAGAACTGCTCGTATACGGGTATGCATTTAAACGAGCACACTGCTTATAGCTTGTCGCGAAGGATAATACGGAACTGCTCGTATACGGGTATGTATTTAAACGACCACACTGCTTAAATTATAGCTTGTCGCCAAGGGTAATACGGAACTTCTCGTATACGGGGATGTATTTAAACGACCACACTACTGTAGCGTGTCGCCAAGGATAATACGGAACCATGAATTTCATTGACATCGGCATAGATGTATGTATAATATTAAATTGATATTTTCAGGCACCTCCGTAACTATATACCACCGGCACTGGATGATAATCAGAATTTAGTTAACATATCAGGAAGTGTTGTCGACGGCAGAACAACGGCAACCTTCACCCGTCCCCTAGTAACCAATGACCCTCAAGACTTTGATTTCGACGGAGAAAACTGCGCTTATTTTTTATTTGCCTGGGGTGGCACCGTAGATTCAAAAGGCGCTTTTAAATCTAAACATAATTCACAGAAAACTGCATCTGGTCGCACATATTGTTTCACTTCTTGTGACGTCCCTGGTAAGTTAATCTCATTTTAGAAATTTGTGCACCGATGCTAGTAAAAGTGTGAGTTTAAACAAAATCTTATTAAAATATTGTTTACTTTTGGTGAAAACCTATAACTTTAAAAGCTGTATTATTTATTTGCGTTCGTTTTTTCGCTAAACCTTTCAATGAAACGAAGTGGAAACGGAATTATGCATTTCACTCAGTTTCAACACCCCTTGTCATCTTTTGTCATATCTCGCTGAAACATGTATATTGCTTATGTTGTATAGATTTGTCATTGAAAAGCAGAAAAAGGGGTAACTTTGTTTCTATTATAGTGACCCCTCCTCCAGTAATTACAGATTTAAAGAGACGTGTGCCATTTACAATAAAACTGTTGCTGAACTGGGACCCAGCATATGGCGTTACTACATCGGATCCTTTCGATGCTTTAGCTGCTGATATGATAGAGTTTGTGAGTACATGTATATAAAACTTTGTCAATAAAACCAACGATAATAAATTAACCCAAAGGTGAAATTGTCTATATTATCACAATGACAGCAACACAATATATTGAGCGATCCAAACACAGATCCAAGCTTTTTAACCAAAGGGTGTTGCAACATTTTGATAAGGGGTACTAGTAATTCATATTACAAAAGGGGTTTAGAATTTTACCAGAAAGGTCACAGGTTCAAGTGTTCGCTGATTTTTACCAGTTTTCTGTGAATTTAAAAATCTTTTGTTGATATTCAAATCGTATAGGGGTTTCATATACTCAGGCAAGGTGCAGGGGTGTGTTAGTGGGTCATGAACACCGCCTCCAATTCTCCTCTAGTTCTGCGCATGCGTTCGCCACCACGTCTTTATTAACGTAATGTCTGGTACGGCTTACAGAGACAGTATTTATTAAACGATCCAAAATGTATTAACATACACAAAAGAAATACCTAAATGTAAATAAAGAGTAATGTGGACATTGCAAAGATTATATATAACCTCTTTTGAGAACAGAGATTATCTAATTCAACATTTTAACAAGGTCAAAAATAGTTTACACGTTGCTTTATGTAAATTTCATTGATAAATGTCAAGAGAAATGAAAATAACAAAAAGATGTAAAAATCTTCAATGTCAGTATAGAATCTTTCAAAGGGATAACCTTGTTTTCTTTCTTTTATACACAGTTTGAGTCAAAGTTTAAAAATCGTCTGCGTGGCTACCTTGGTGTGATAGCCCTGAGGTTCAGGTAAATATGACATGAAATGTAACCCTCTATAATGAAGTGAATTTAAAGTTTTTGACCTATTATAATTTATAAACTGCATTTTCCTATCAATGTATCCATAAGTGTATTTAAGTTTTTTTTATTCCAAATTTATGTCTAAAGTTTGGGAGTGGCCCCAACATTGAAACATATAAATAGTACAATAAAGGATTCTCGTTACTGAAGATGATCCACGAGTGTGTCCATTTAACATTTCCGTACAATTTCGACAACATCCTCCCGCGAGCAGATGCGTGTCACGCTTCCATAAAACCGTTTTGGAAACAATACCATTTCAACCAATTTTGATATATGTCTTTGAAGTTACATTCCATTTCATTCATTTTGGGTTCTTCATAAAATTTGTCAGTTTTGTTTACATGGCAGCGAATCATAGCATTTATTCGGCATTACATTAAACAACATTCATAGCCATTTCGTTATAAAAATAGTGATTTTTTTCTCGTTGAACATATTTCCTGGTAAAAAGATCTAAAAGCGACCATAGGAGCGTTCGGAAGTCAGAGAAATTTTACCATTCCAAGTCATTCTTTTATCAAATCTATAGCTCATACGCTTACATTTTGCGTTTTTAGTCCCCTACCGGTTTACCGGAGGGGACTTTAGGTTTACCCTCCGTCCGTCTGTTCGTCTGTCTGTCCGTCCGTCCGTCAGTCCGTCCGTCTGTCCGTCCATCCGTCCACAAAACTGGATCCCGCGATAACGCAAAAAGTACTGAAAATATTTTAATGAAACTTGATATATGGATAGATGGCAGTATGGAGATTATGCACGTCTTTTTCTTTTCTTCCTATGTTGAAAATTCTGGTTGCTATTGCAACAAATAGACTGAAAATATGGCAAATTTTACACATAACCTGGATCCCGCGATAACGCAAAAAGTACTGAAAATATTTTTATGAAACTTAATATATGGATAGATGGCAGTATGGAGATTATGCACTTCTTTTTCTTTTTTTCCTATGCTGAAAATTTTGGTTGCTATGGCAACAAATAGACTGAAAATATGGCAAATTTTACACATAACCTGGATCCCACGATAATGCAAAAAGTACTGAAAATATTTTTATGAAACTTGACATATGGGTAGATGGCAGTATGGGAATTATTAACATCCTTTTCTTATCTTCCTATGTTGGAAATTCTGGTTGCTATGGCAACAAATATACTGAATTTCAAGATTTCTGATTCTAGTTTTTAAGTTTTTTTTCACTATAAGTTCTTTATTTCTTAAGGTATTTTCTTCAAACTTTAAATATAAGTTGCTAGTCATCAACCACATCATATGTGACAAGGTTTACAACTCTAGGACAAAATTTCTCAGAATTACCGCCCTTGAACTTAAAATTTTCGTAAAAAATATTTTTTTTTTAATAACTTCTTTTTTTTCTGAATCTATCTACTTCAATCTTCATATAAATGTTTCTTATTATCACTCAACTTTTGTGAGAAAGTTCAATACTCTAGCAAGACTATTTCCAGAATTATGCCCCTTTTGAACTTCAACTTTGAGAAATTGGTAATTTTTACTCCAACTTCTTCAATCATGATAGGATTTTCTTCAAACTCCCACATCATAATAATAATTATGACAAGGTTTATAAATCTAGCATCCATATTTCCAGAAAAATCTCCTCCTTAAACTTTTAATTTTTCCTATTCGTTCTTTTAACTTTCATTTACTTCAAATTCAAAATAAACATTCATTATTCATACCTTCATTACTAATTGTTCTTTGTTACACTCACATCATGTATGACATCTTGCATCTTTATTTCAAGAGTTATCTCCTTTTTAAAATTTTTGCTTTTAAAAATGTTATATTTTGATAACAGGGATGTTAAAAAAATAACTTTAGAGTGCCCTTCAGTCCGTCTGTCTGTCTGTACATAAAAACTGTTTCCTGTGATCACTTTTTAAGAACTTTTTTTTTTTTTTTTTTTCAGGCCCCAAAGGTGACCCCATTTATTGCCTCCGTCGCATGACTATTTAAGGGTCGGAGGTCCATCCCTTAACAGTCTTACAATAATGTTTTAAAACATGAAAAGTTAACATAGTATTAACACCAAAGAAACAAATATATTCAACCTGGTACTTTCCAGATTAAGTTTTGTGTACTATGATATCCACAAATGTCCGTAAAATTAGCTATATAAAATTACTAAATATCAAATTACTTTCTTTAAAAATTTTTGCTTCCTCTTTCTACGCTTCTTAGTAATTGCTAACTGGTTTAAGACGATTTTATGTAGGGCTATTATCCGTTCAGCCGTTTTTACGAACGGCTAAAACCCGTACCTCCCGTGGCGGCGCATAAAGTTTGCTGATGCTTTTTGGCATAGCTTATATTTACGGCAAAACTTTTTTTTGAAAAATTGAATATGTAAAGGAGGTTATAAGTTCAAGACATAGAAAAATATTACTAAATCTACATTATGCCTTAAACAAAAACATAATTACTTTTTTCTATATTTATGAGTAATACACAAAACTAATGATACTAATGGGGTTTAGCTAGGAGGCTTGACAATAGAATAAATAGACATACGAAAAAGATGATTATTTACAAAAGAAAACAACAAATATAACATCAACAAAACATCAAAGACAAATACTTTGCGGCCAGGGCACGTTCAAAAAATACTACAAACATGAATATAATTATTCTTCCATGTATGCTCAAAAACAAAAGCTAGGTATGAAAACTGAAAAGACAAAGGTCGCTCCTAACATCAACATACGAACAAGTATTTTGATGATTCACATTAATCATAATCAGATTGGAACAAAAAATTTGGATGGTCTCTATTATATTATGATTAATGACATATATTTAAAATAGCATGCCAGTCTTTTTTAAATTGGTCAAGATTTCCACATTGGATAGCTTTTTCTTCATTTACCTTTAAAAACATATGAAATATACTTTATATAGCACCAGCAAAAGATAGCATTGTTTTATTAGTTTTACATTTAAAATATAAACATTTTGACATATAAAATAACTAAATTGTTTACAATATTTATTGTATTGTTTCCTTTAGTGTAACCAAAAGCATAGTTTCTTTATTCAAGTTTGGCATGTTTAGTTTATCTATACAAATTTCGTGTATTAATTTATTGCTGTGAATGCATTCCCAAAAGATATGTTCTATAGTTTCATCATGAAGATTACAAGGCTACATAAGGGACTGTTAATATATTTCATTTTGAACAAAAGATTATTTGTACCCAAAATCCTATGGATAAGTCTTACTTGGAACCATTGTAAATAAGTATCTTTTGTCAATTTGAATGGTAAATTAATATATATTCTTCCAGTATTCATCATCATTTGGAAGGCATAGTTTTTTGTTGACCATTTGACCTGACAAACGGGCTTGCTGAAATTTGACATAAGCGAATCATACATATATTTTTGAGCCTTTTTTGGTCTTTAATTATCCTTTAATGTGTATTGGAATTGTTTGGCAATTTTTCTCTCTTAAAAGTTAAAGGGTTGAAGCAGACATTTTTGAAAAAGTTTGTTAACTGCTTTTTTAATTCCTAAATATAAAAGATGATTGATATTTATATTGTAGATTTTGCCTAATTCTTCTGGTGGTATAAAACTGGCCATTGCTCTTGTAAGATATCATAAACACAACGAATTCCCCTAATCATACCAAGATTTCCAAAAAATACTTTTATTGCCAATAGTAAATGAGTTTCTGATTGTAAAATAAAGGTAAGTTACAAATATGTCTTCTTTATCAAATTTCTGATGCTCAATAAACAATGAAAATGCACTTTTAAAGTGTGTTTCCAGAAATTCATTTTTAATAGATTTTTTTGACATTTTCTCGACATAATGCTTTCCACACGTGACTAATTTTTGTACATCGATACCCTGTGGGTTAAAATACTTATCCAACAACCATCACTTGAAATAAATTCTTCTTATCCATGTAAGTTTTAACGCATTCATAAAAGCATTATATTTACCATTCTTAAAACCCCCTTTTCCATGTAATCTTTAACTAACACATTTTTATTTAATTTTTGAAGCTCCATTCCAAAATAAAAGCAGTTATAATGTATCATTAATTTGTTGTATATATTTATCCGAAGGATTCGGCAACATTATAAATAAATGGTTTAGTTGTGAAATAAGTATTGTTTTTATTACTGTTATTTTACCGATTGGAGTCAAAGCTCTTCTATTCCATTGTTTAATCATTTTTCCTGATATTGGATTTTTTTCTTTAAAGTTAGATCTACCATTTTTTCAAGATCCACATGGAATGTTATACCAAGCATTTTGAAACTAGTTTCGTTCCAATTCAGTTTCCATCTAGTTTTTTATGCTATCACTGCTGTACTTTTTAATGCCTATCCAAACAACCTTTGTCTTTTCAAAGTTCACCCCTGAGCCCCGAGATCTGAGACAAAAACTGATAAAACATCAAGAGTGGCATTTAAAGATTGTGCTGTTCCATCTAACATTTACAGTGGTATCATCAGCAAAACTTGTGACAGTAAATGTTCAGTCTGTTAAATACGTATTCCTTTAATATTTTCTACGGATTTTCAACTTAAGGGAAAGAACTTCTGCACATAATATAAAATATATAACATGAAAGAGGGTCGCCTTGACGAACAGCCTCGCTGTACATTGATAAATTTGGATAAGAATCCACATTGACAAACAGCTGATGTTGCATTTTCATAAAAGATATTAACCGTTTTTTAAATTGATGCACCAAAATTGAAAAAAAAGATAAGGTATTCTGTACGAAACCCCAAGATAGCGAATCGAATGCTTTTTCAAAGTCAATCAAAAGAAGTAATGCAGGAATATCATTTTCTTCTGTATAGTTCATAATATCATATATCAGTCTAACATTTTCTCCGATATATCTTCCTTTTATAAAACCCGTTTGATCTTTGCTAATAAGTTTATTTAAAAATATTTTAATTCT